ATCTCGCCACTGTGGTGATGACCACCAATATATGTTGAAATATATGTTGAAAGTGATGACCATACTTTGATGACCAGTTAATTGCTTTTGGGGTGGAGTGGTGGTATCGTGGTTAGTGATTCCCGGCCACAGCTGACATCAGTGGCAAGTGATCTCCCCTCCCCATCTTCAACCCACACTGACCAGAATGATGAAGTATGGTCAAAAAACGTCGACGACCGACAAGGCACGGAGATGCCTTTATCCATTGGTGGATTGAGAATTGGTGGCATTTACTTATTTATTATGAGGCATGACTGGTAACTCATGCGCCAAACATGGTATATATGTCTATTACACAAAGCTGCGTTTCCACGAATTTATTAATAACGAATCTATTAATAACTGTTCAGGCGAGTGCGACATGGAGTTAGAGTGAAGTTCAATAAAACGCCCTTGTTTAACCGGCGAGGAACTCATTGAGATGATTAGTTACAAATATTGCTATTTGTTATCTGTATAAACAGAATAAGCTCCTTTTGCATATTTCATACCATGACATTATCGATCCAAAAAACACTGACTCTCATTGAGAACATGGAACGAAAACTGTAGAGTATGCGTGGACAATGAAGGGATGCATATGGGGAAGTACACTGATAGACAGAAAGAGAAACCCACAGATCAGAGAACATGCACAATTTAATTCTGCAGACGTCACGAATTACATGAGCAGGAAATCGCGTGGAATGACCCTGAGGCTTCAACGGGGTGGGGACCCCTTCAGCACCCCCCCCCCCTCCTCTAAGCTACTGGGCTGTACTGCAGGGCTATGTGCCTGCTGTGCGTGTATCTTGTCAGACATATGCAGCTGTGGCGCAGTGGTTAGCACAGTGTGCTACGAACCCGCCAACTCGAGTTCAATTCCAGGTCATGCTAATACCAGTGGCGAGTTGATATCTGAACCCATCTTGGCCCTCTCCTCGGTCACACCTGAGCCTTAAAAATTAGTACCGCACATAGTGCAGAGTGGCAACATTAGGGCTGGTGAGGCAAATGTGGTCAGGCATGGTGCTCTTTGCCACGCCACCCCCTCGAGCGCCGTGCTGGCTTTCACAGGTGGGGTGCCACGGTGATGAGATGTTAACTACCTCGCCTGGTATGGAGGAGGTTGTGGGTTCGAGCCAGATGCCTGTATAGTTGGAGTTTGCATGTTCTCCCCATGGTTGTGTGGATTCTGGTTTTTCACTCCACATTCCCTCCACATTTATAAACATGCATTTAGACTATTTGGCTGCCATAAATTTGCACGTGATAAGCCACTTCTTTGAGCTATCACTTGTGGCCAGCTGGCTTCCTCAAAAAGAGCTCTATAGCTCAGTGGGACTTACCTGGTATAATAAAAAATAGTTAAAATAGTTAAAATAAGTCATCATTAACAACAACAGCACTTGGCGCAACAACATGTGTAGGCGACATGGGGAATATTTATGTTTGTGTCAGACAGCCAATATTGAGTCTTTGAATATATAATTGCCTCCAGAACAACAGTGGCAATGGCCCCTTGCTACGTATTAATCTGGATCATCATATTTCTCAGCTGAACGCATGTCGGTGAGTATAAGTTACAACGGTCATTTGTAGCGACGCTTTAAAACGCCCACAAAACTCACAGCAAAAAAGGCTCGGCTCTCATGAGGCCAAATGTGTTTCCGTGTTAGGATTGGGCAACGTCAATTCACTTGTAAGTCGATATCTTTTTTTGCCGTCGATGTTTTGCCAAAACGCTTCATCAGAAATGTGTTGAGCCCTGTTGCCTTGGTTAAATACTTTGTTTGCAGAAACCCTTTTCGAGATATGAAAGTGATTGTTGACCCTTCACTATGCACTTTTGTGGATCAACAAAGCAAAAGCACGCCTCCCCCCCACGTTCAATTGCTTCATGAGCAGTGATCATTTCCATTGACAGTTACGAGCCAGTGGTGGACATTCCACATATCTATGACGGGGATCGTTATTCCCATTACAAAACTGCTGTTGACGTTGTAAAAAAAAAAGTGCCGCTCATTTTATAAAATTTAGAGAGTACAGACGCCGTGGAGATGGAAAATTGAAATCAGCTCCTGGGCAGGTGGTAGGTGGATTGTGATATCGCAGCACTGTGAAGATATTGCAGCGGCTTGGTGAAGCCTCCATCCAGCAGTGAATTGACCATGGCTAACGACGAGGATGAGTAAAGTTGACCTCAGGGTGGAATTTGAACCTTGTAAGCTTCCGATTGCGAGATGAGCTCTCTAGCGAGCTGTGCCATCTGGCCCGATGTGACTGCCAAGAGAGCCATTAGGATGATGGAAGAGTGTTAAATTAAACAAGTGTCTACATTTACCTGCGAATGTATGCACTGCGTCTCTCGCGCAACGCTGCGGCGTGAACTGTTTATTAAGACTGGAGACACACACCGCCCAGTCGGGAGGGATATGGTACCCTTACACAGTCAAATAAAGCTTTAACAACTCTGTTAAACGCTAAACAGAATGAGCAGCGTTGTGGATTAGCTCCTGTTGTCCAATGCAGACGACTTTGTCGTTCGCTGTAACCTTCCAGCAAGTTCAAAAACGTGACCTGTGGACATCCCCTCTGTCCTGAAATGGGATATTTTCTTCACCTGATGATTGCACGCCGATTTGTTTACCGGAAAATACGGCAAACACAACCGGTGCTAATGTTTAAATTGGGAATAATGCTTAACCGATGCAATAAGCTCCTTTATGAAATGCTAGGCTTATAGCCCACATGACAGGGCAGATGAGCGACTCATAAAGGTGTTCGGATGACATGGCTGCGTCACGCACCGAGTTCCTCACCTCACGTTCATTGTTAGACGTTTCTATATGGTTCACCGATTTTAGCCAGGCTTTTTTTATCAATCGGTTTTTTGGTAAAATGCAAATGACATTCAAAATGCAAATGACATTCAAAATGCAAATGACATTCATCATCATCATCACGATCCACGGGCAGATAGCTCGGAAGATGTCCACTGCACAATTCATGATTTGTTTCCGCTTTCCTCTGTCTTGTGCCAATATGCCCAAGTAGTGCCACATTTACTCTAGCACCAATCTCTTATGATGTCATCGTCAAGCCGTTCTCTGTTAGGTCTTTCTCTATTTCCAGTTCCAAATGTGTCCAAATCGTGCCAGTTTCCTTCTCATCACTGCCTGCATCATCAGGTCTTCTTCTTCTGTGTGTTACATTTTTCTTACTTATACGTTGGTCACTCTTTGGGTCCAAGAAGGGGCGGAGCCACAGGGGGGGCTGGGGGGGGGGCTCAGCCCCCCCCCTGATATTTTGGGAAAGTCGGTAATTGGGATAACCGGATATCCGGCTGCTGCAAAATGCTGGCTGTCACCTTGTGCTGCCCTGTAGGCTGCTTGAGCGGCAGCCTTTCGAACTTATCGAACTTATTAGCCACATCAGCGGCTCCGACCTATTAATAAACTTCGCGTTCAAATCCAATACAATTTGTTTTATACATTTGTGGCGCCCATTGGAAAACATAAACACACTGAGATATCTCAGAATATTGAAATCAGCCCCCCCAAAGTCAAAATCCTGGCTCCGCCCCTGGGTCCAAGCTTAGATGAAGTATCCTTCTGTAGCAATCCATTTCAAGTGCCGATATCTTATCTCTCTGATATTCACACGTAATAATCTCACAGACGGGTCGCTGTCTGTGAGAAGCTGGAAATGCACCAGCATTGATTTAAGCAGAGTTGAACAACACTTTAATTTGGTGATGCTGCTGCGTTGGCGGTGGTGCACAAGCAAAATAAACAACACAGACACAACACATTTGTGAATAATACTGTGAACTGAATAGGCGACGAAGCACGTCTTGTGACGGGTAACTGCTCAAAATGTGCGCTTAATATATATTTTGTACTCTTGAGACCAGTATTATTGGCGAATGTGTTGAGTTTTTTTTTTAATAAAAACCGATTCAAGCAAGTAAGCAAGCCTGACTCTGCTGCTGCCGATGAGACATTGAATGTCGAAACGGGTCGAGAGCCGTGTTTGAGTTCAACCAATGCTGCTGAACTTATGCGATTCCAGAAGCAAGGCCGCTGTGGCTGATGGGATGTGGACATTTGTTGATGTGTTTTTTGTAAGTGAAGGGACAGATATGGCTGGGGAGAGAAGGGGGATGCCTGGGTTATTCACACTCGGGAGCGACTCATTCTTATGTAATTTTTACTTTTACACTTTATTTATTTGTATATATTTTTTAGTGACTTGCGAACCATTTTTATATTTTTCTTCTTATTATTATTATTTTATATTGGTTTGTTGTTTTTACTTGCTAGGCTCGTCCATCATGCCCCCAACACTGGACATGCCTACTTGTCAACCCCTCATCAGTGCCCCACCTTATTACAGACCAATTCAGACCTTATTGGTCACCCCGTGGCTTTATAAATCTCAACGTTCATCCTACAAAGTCCCATCGCAAGGGAGAGAAACACAAACGCAGACGACATTTTTGTCTGCTCGCATTGAAACGGCCTAACGCCGTACGTACCTGAAAACTCAATTTCCCTGTACAAGAATACGGGCTAAACCGTACGGGGTTGACCAGCTGTGGTGCACGTGTTGAGAGAGAAAAAAAAAACACAGGAGCTTTGTAGCTCATCGGGATTTCTTCCAGTCTCAAATAAACCATTCTAATTCTTATTCTTAGCTCTTTCGGTAAAGTCACGTTGAAGGGAAACAATACAATAAAATGTTTTATATATATTTTATTATTTTATTGTTTCCCTTCAACGTGACTCTACCGAAAGAGCTAAGAATATGAATTAACTGCAGTCACGAAAGCTTTAAATCAAAATTTCATTCGAATTCTTTCTGCGATGGGGGGGGGAGGGGGTTGGTTGGTTGGTTGGGGAGGGGGGGGGGCTATTGCGTCATCGCGCGCGCCGTGACGTCGCCGGGCGCACCGCGACTATAAATTGCAGCCGCCCGCCGGCAGAGCGCCTCAGTGCGCAGTATCGAGAGCAGGAAGCGAACAGCAGCAGCAGGCTCAGCCTCAGCCTCCGCCGTCTTCAGCTTCGCCGACGACTCCGTTGCTTTTGCGTTACGTGCGTCGTCTCTAGAACGTTCCCCCACACGACCACCCCCGCCCGGGCACTCGGGAATCTACGTGTTAAATTTTTTTTTTTTAAACCATTTGACTGCATGCAATTTAACAAGCGTTTTTTTTTTTTTAAAACAAACCCCACCACGCTATCTACACCTCGCGAGTGTTGAGGATTTGTGATTTTTTTTCCCCCATCCATACATTTTTTTTTCCAAGGCCGCGATCGGTGGGTTTTTTTGTTAGCGCTGTCGCAGCGTTCTCGGGTCTTGTCGGGAATATTTACATCTGCGTTTGTATTTGTCGCTATTTTAAAATATTTACCGTGCTCGGCTACGCTCGCGTTTTTCAGTGTAATTAGAATTTATACGCAATTATAATCGCACATCACGCCCTGCATTTAATATTAAATTACAGGCGCTACCAACTCGCGCGATCAACGCACCGAGGTGGGGTGGGTGGGGGGGAGTTGCGGAGGGATTTCCTAAAACCACATTGTTTTAACCTAATTGAACCGTAACGCCTAAACGCTTTTAATTTGTTAAACAAATAAAAAAACAAACTCAACTGAGCCATGAAGACCAAGGTGGAGGTATGCCCCTACGACTGCCAGCCCAAGGACGCCGACGAGGCAGAGTGCAAGGGCGGTCCCCACCGCAGGGCGGACGGAGTGGACTCGTCCACGCACGGCCAAGCGTGGCTCTGGTGCCGCGAGTTCCTCCCGGGAGCCTGGAAACGCCTCCCCGAGCACAGCCTGCGGCTGTCCGTCATCAGGTGGGGCGGGGCCTCGGGCCGAGTGGGACAGTGATGTGGGCGGGCCAAGAAGAGGCAATGGGCGGGGTTTAGGATGTGGGAGGAGCAAGGAGGTGGGAGATGGCCAAAATAAATTTGAGATAAGAGGCGGGGGGAGGGGGGGGGTCCCTGTTATGGGTAGTTCAAGAGGAGGGTGTGGGGAGGTTAAGGGGGCGTGTAGGCAGGTCCAGGGTGCTGAATATGGGCAAAGTTTTGGTAAACCTTTTAAAAATGGGCGGGACCAAAGTGCCGCGGGCGTGGCCAGTGCCAACGTGTGGGGAGGAGCCAGGGACTTGACCCGTGTGCTCAATGGGTTGGTTGCACGGAGGTGATAACGAGGATTGAGTTGGGGGGGGACAGTGCTGAGTGGGTGGTGTGGGGTGCAGGGCAAGAAGCAATGTGGCCTGGGCCAATACTGAGTGGGCTTGGCAAGGAGAGGTGTGTGGGAGGGGCTAGAGGTTTAAACTGGGTCTAATGGTGAGGGCATGGGAGGTGAAAGGTGCCAGTGGGTTGGGGGCAAGGAGCTTGTGGGCAGGGTCAGTAGAGGTTATGGCAGGGGCTAAGGGGAGGTTTGAATTGGGCCTGGTGCTGAGTGATGGGAGCCAGATGTGTGGGATTGGGCGGCAAGAGGCGGCTTTGAGTTGGGTGTCCATGGCTATTGGTTGAGCATCGTTCAATGCGCATGTGGGTTGGAACTGTGGTGAGTGGGCTAGACTACGTGACTGATTAGGCCAGGTTTATTTGTCTATCCGGGTGAAAACTCAAGAGAACAGGATAGTCTTCATTTGCAAGAGTGACCTGGGTCACCAAAATTAGAAAAGCAAAACAAATAAAGTACAGCAAGCAACGAAGCTTAAAGAATGTCGGTGTAGTTACAGGCATGACCAGGCAGTTACCAGAGTTGCGTAGGAAGGGGCAAAGGGAGGTTTGAATAGGACCAGGGCACATCTTTGGTAAGGGATTTGGTCAAAGGTTCAATGGGCGGTAACAGAGAGCCACGTGGACATGACCAAGGCCAAGTGGGCATGCCTAAGAGGATGGTGTAGAAGAAGGTGATATGTGGATGAGTAGGCACGGCCAAAATACTGTGGTGGGGTGGAGGAGGGGGACTGGAGAAGTTGTGTGTGTGTAGGGCTTGAGTTGAATTGGTGGGGCCTAGAGGCATTGGAGGGGCAAGAGGGGGAGGGTTTGATATATGCTAAGGCAATGTGAGATATGTTTTTATAGGCAGCCTTGGTCGTGTTTGATTTGAGCGGAGATTTGTGATGGAACCAGTCTGGCCAAATCGCTTTGTGGATGGAGTCAGAGAGGTAATTTGGGCAGGTCCCTGGTGTTGTGGGTGGGGCATGTGTACCGGGCAGCGTGGGCAGTTTTGAGCAGAGTGGGTGGTGCTTAAGGTCAAATTACATAATGAGCGGTCCGAGGATGAGGTGTGGGTGGAGCTCTATCGTGTGGGTGTGGTCAGTATCATATGGGCAGGAATTCAGATATTGGTGGGGTATAGGCTGGATCAAATCAAGACCAAACCAAAAACACTAATTTTACTTTGGGTTTCCTTACCTACATAACAATCTTGAACATTTGATGTCAACCAATTTGTTGAGTAAGGTGGGTTTATAAAAGCTTCTTCTACTGTTGGCCACAAATATATTATCAGATCCAAGAAAAGATCATTATATAACAAATAGCGTTTGCCTGACAAAAATACATCTATTGAATTAATTGGAAACTGAATCTCCTCAACACTCTACAATTAAGAGATATTCTAATGTTGAAATTGCTGCACTGTGTCCGTTAAGAAAGTCGTGCAATGCAATATAGTTGGGCTCGATGATGCTCTCACTAATGCCCTTCACCGCAGCATTGGAATTTTTTTTTTCCTGAATTACTGAAGGCATTGTAAAGGAAGCTAAGAATTTCGTTGAGGTTGTCACACACCGCTGAATGTAAGAACAAAACAAAGCAATCTCGCTGTAATAAGGAGCAGGGGGGGGGTTTGATTGAGCCATGTGTACAGAATGTAAGAGGTTAGAGGTTACTGAGGCAGGCACTGGGAGTGGGACTCGCGAGTTAAGTGACCAAGGGGACGACCTAAAGTCAGGTGGTGGGATATTGTAAAAAAAGCATGACCTTGTATATTTCAGGGTTTGGCAGGCGGAAGCGAGAAATGGTGGAGGGTGTTGGCTGGCATCAAGGGCGCCTGGCCATGCTAGCATTTCGTTCTTCAGTGTTGTTGATAATGACCTCATTTATTTTTGTCTGCAGCGATGGATTTCTTATCTCGGATTCAAGTGTGAGTTTGTAAAATAAATGGCCTCACCTCCAATGGGAACCGCCCCCCCACTCTCTGAGCACCAAGTCCATTGAGAGCAGAGCCCACAGGAGACTGCGTTGTTGATGAACGAGTGGGAACACTCTCACTGGGGTTAAGTGAGGACTTGCCACATTCCTGACCGTCTGCCGAGGGACCAGGCTTGGGATTTCGTGGAATTGTTTGTTCCCTTCGCACATGGGGCTTGCCCCCACCACATGCTGATGACCCATCCTAACCTGATACACAGAGCCCCTAAACATGACTGGGGAACCAACTAACCCAATCGTGAGCAATTTGTTCCTTCATAGTTGATTGAGACTTGTGTTTTAATTGGGTGATGCTATTGGCAAATCAAGTCGTTTACATTTATTTATCCCCAGAAATGACTGGATGTCTTGCATGGCCGTTTGCAGATAATAGGGTGATGGAATTGACCTTTTCCATTACAACCTATGGATAATGGGGTGAATTTGGTGCTTCTAAGGAGAGCACGTCTCGTGACTCATAAGCAAATGAGTGCAGACAATAGTTTTTGTTCACCTCTTCTGAGTGGCGACTCTTATCTATGGTTTGTTGTGGATAATAGGATAAATTTAGCACCTGCAACGACTCCCATTATGATGCAAGAACACGAGGAGGATCGGCATCATCCTCATCAGCAGCAGCGTAACAATATCTTGATGATATTCATCATTGCACTACTTAACGAAAATTGGAGCAGCAGCAACAGCATAACAGGGCTTCCTCTCGCCCGTGTAGTAATGTGGATAATAAGTTGAATTTGCGGCTTGATTCCTGGTATCTGTGGTTTGAACATGGATAATGAATTGAATTAATGTGCACATGATCGGAATTTCTGTGGATGGATTCCATGGCGCATGCAAGAGGGAGTGCGCGTGTGTAATTCTTTCCCTCGGGCCAGGTGGCCCATGCCTGTGACGCAGCAACTTTGTCGAGGTTGTTGAATCGCATGTAGAGTTTTCATCCTGTCCCGTGAAATGTCCGGTCCACGGGGCTGTGGGGGTGTTCTTGAGACTACAGCACACCGAAAGTGGGTCGAGTGACCCATCTGAGCCGATATTTGTTACGAGTGTTCTAACTGCTGCGTAATCCCGCTCGTGCACGTGGGATTTTCTTCGGGCGTTCCCGCGTCGGGATTTTATTTTCACTGCGCAAAAAGGTGTGGGAGATTTTAAGTACGCCTTTGCGGAAACATTTCCCAGAAACCTATGAAAAAAAAGCCATTTTGACCGCTGGCAAGAACATCGTCCTCATACCACTCATGTTCGTTTTATTGTCTTTGGTTGTGATGAAGGACACGGCCTGGAAGGTTGCCATCGTGCAGCCCTGTCGAGCAGCACCTTGTTATATAAAGGAAAAAAAGCCGCGTGTGTGAATTATTTAAAACTGGTTTGTCTGTCTCTTTTGTAATGAGCTCCGCACAGTCACCGCAGCTCTATTACATCAAGTCTTGTTACTGCTGATGACGTGTAAAGTATTGATGAAAAGCAAATCTTTTAACACCAGTAAACGTCCATATTCATGTAGAGCTCTCTATGAGCATCTCGTTGTTGGATAACGGCTACCAGATGTAGACATCACAAATATGCTGTGTTTGAGGTGCCTTCAAGTGACATTTTATCCACAAAATTGGGAAAGGACTCTTCCTTGTACCCTGCTACAGACTTCAGTCCAAGTAATATTAAACAAGGAATACATATATACATGGATTTTCTCTAATGCTTTGGCCGAAAAGGCAATTAAAAAAAAAATTCTGGGTATTGGGTAACCCTTGGATCAGTCTGCCTGGACAAGGCCCTAGCAGAAACAACACTTCATACTACATTTGTATTCTAGTTGCGTGACCGCTACCATAGTTATAGTGACCCTCCGCTATCGGAAGACGGACGGAGCTAATTCGTTGGCTCTTTCGACCTTGGTTGCAAAGCGTTGAAAGAAACGGTGAAATTTGGCCAAGTGAAGTCCACAATCAATTTTATTGTGCTGGGGTGTTTTTTTTTATTGCGAGCAGCCATTGGTGACTGTGTTCAGACCGTGAACTCGCTCTCCTTGAGAACCCATTTTAAACGTGGGTGGCTGCCCATTATTTGAAACCGGGATTTGAGTCGTTCCTCGCCAAGTCATCTGACCCCTGAGCCCCCTTTTCAAATGGATTATTTCGTTTACAGTACGCTGCATCAAATCGTGCGTGTGAGAATCCGTTCCTTTTCACATTAATATACTGTATGTCTGGGGAGCGGTTTTTTTACATTCCACTTCAGATAAAATATTCATACCACTCTAGATTTGTGTGTGCACTACAGTGACAAAAAAACCGGACTTTGTGAATTGAATCGTGCTCCCCGATTGTGACATTAAAATGGTGGAGGTGGTTTATTTCATCATCATCATACACCTTCAAAGGCAAGGAGGCATCGACACTTGACGGTCTGAGGCTGTTCGTTTATCATTAATTTCTGCTCACGGGCTCGATTCAAACCCAGGACCTGGGGTCCAAGGCAGCATGGCCCCCTGTTGGGGGGCAGAGCATTCTAGATTGAAAATTTATTTAATTAGAACTGCGTTTTGTGTTGAGTTTGTTGTCCTACCCCATCACCTCCAATTAGCACGGTTGGCTACGTACGGTGCTAAAGAAGTTCTCCATACA